GGAGATCCGTCATTCTGTCACGCTGGGGTTCAGGCGAGCCGGGAAGCAGGCAAGCAGAGCCGTGAATAAGGATAAACAGGGTTTAATGGGAACAGCAGGTACGCACATCGAAACAATACAATGACGGATCTCCGGGATAGTGGGAGACACGGACTAATATACACAGGACAGGGTGGAAATGACTAGACATAGGTGGAAACAATCAAGCAGAAACAGGAGGTAACGAGGTGGGCGTGGCACACATCGGGAGCGGACGGAGCGGGGCGTGACAATGTGCAAAAATGGTAATTAAGAATAAACATATTTTAATATGATATGCATTTTGGTGTGTGTGACTCATACTATTTTATTTAGCTGAGGGAAGTGTTTACCAGATTCATCTAACATCACGTGATTTATGCAGCTGGTTGCTGATATTAACTGCCTCTGTTACAGGGCATTTTTTATTGGATGATTTCAAACTCTGTGCATTTACCTCGAGTACTCTGATTGGCTAGCAGTCACAGAGGGCAATTCGCATTTCAAAGGGAGCATGTCTATTGTGTGCCGCACGCATTATGGTGGATTAACCTTTGATAAGGCACACTTCTACTATTCTGAGAGATCTTAGAGTGTGGGAAAGTTCTGGAAAATGGAGTCTCAGCTTCACAGTCATTAAAATCCTGAGGAGCAGAGTTGCTGCGGCTGCTTTCCGTCCAGATGGTCCTTTAATGCGAGGCTGACGTTCACCACCCACGGCTCATTGAGAACACTGAGCAGCTATTGTAATGCACAGATAATGGCAAAGAAGAACCAGCGTGGGAAACTCGGACTTAATCTCTCCTCACAGGAAGGACATCTGGAATTCCTGCACAACCATTCAATGGCTAAAAGTGATGGCTTTCTTTAAAAAAAAAAAAGGCTTTGTAGACATTATTGCAATAAAATCACTCAAGTTAAAAATATATGAACTCGATTCTTATGCAATAGCTGCAGCGGCAAAATTGAAGTTTCAAATACATTATCAAATGTTTTAAATTAAAGACTTAAAAGCTGTGCAACAGGTGCACAATGTCTAATGTCCCTCCTTAAAAAGTCATTACTCTTTTGATGTCAGATGCAATCATTGGCACATTTCAAAGAACATATAAACATCTTTCTCGGCCTCTTGGGTTGTGATTTGGTTTGTTTATGAGAACTCTACACAATGCGGTTCTCCTGAAGGTAAGTGGTTAGGTAGATCATTGCATTTACAAGCTTTTGCAAGCTTTCAATGGATAAGTGACTCTTGAAGTGGGAAGGATTGACATAAATATTATTAATTTCACTGATCTATTTCCATTTTTAAACTTCGGAGGACAGTCTGGAGTTCCATGGTTGATTGTCATGTCAGCCCTACACGTGCCTATTGTGATGTCTAGAATGTTCTCCCCTAGCATCACTTATCATGCCACAGATCAGCTCTCTTTACAAAGTGGCCACTTTCCCACATCCACACAAAGCGCTGAGAGCCCCCCCCGCTCCATCTGCTCCCCCGAGACGCCCCCATTGCCCACCAGCAGACAGGACCTCAATGGGCGTGTGACAGATGCTGAACTCACCCATTGGCTGCTCAGTGTGGGAAACTCCAGCAAGCCTGAGCCCCACACATTCTCATGGAGATCTGGGGGTATAAATAGGAGCCCCGAAGAGGTCGGATTCACTCCTCTCAGGGGTCCCTGCACCTCAGTCAAGGCTCCTACAGTCCCAGCAGCAATGACATCTTCTAAGGAGCACCTCGCGGTGGCGGACAAGGTAACCTGAGTGCATGATCTTATAAAAATGATTGATGATCAAACAGCTCCACCTCTACCCTGTTACAGAGGACGGGTGTTAACATCTCTGCTCTTTTCATTGAAGCTGAGGAAACACATTGTGGAGAAGCTGCGCAGAGATCCCATCAGCAGCAGCATGGAGCAGCTTCAGCCAGCAGCCCGACTCCCGGCAGGGGAAGCCCGACGTCCTGGAGATGATGGTTCGCTTCCTGATACGGCATCTTCAGGAGCGATCTGTGAGAAGATCGAGCTTCACGGTGGCTGTCAGTGAGGGCTACTCCAGCTGTATCCAGGAGGTTAAGAACCTTCTGTCACAGGATGAACGACAGACAGAGGGGCAGAAGAACCTGCTGAGCCACCTACAGTCTGCAGGCTTCATCTTACCACGGGCAGGATCAAGCTGTCCTAAGTCAGATGCACTTTACAGGCTGCACTGTGTTTAAAGAGAAGACCTCACTCAACAATAACATTTGGAGACCTTGGTAACCTTGGCAGTCAGCTGAGACTGACATAAACATGGCGCGCAAACTCCTTCAAAGTTCAGGACCTGTTAGCGCTGCTCTGAGTGAGAGAACCATCCACGTGAAATATTATTTCACTTTTGAAATAACCTCATGTGGACTATTTGTGTATCTTTCCTGTGCAAAGACTGTATGTCAAAGACAAAACGCTTTTATCTGAATTGAAGCATCTATTGGTTTATTTTTGCTATTTTACAATGACATTTTTTACGTTGTTAAAAGTCGGCGATTTTTTTTCTCTATGAAATGTGAACTGTTCTGCTCTTTGCATGTGTAATTGTGATGAGAGATAAGATATCAGTTCTGTGAACGGGACCAGATAATTTTCATATGAAAATTTCAATGCTTTTTATAAAGTCATGCATACATGTCCTACATGATGGGGGGGGGTGCTTTTTCAATGAAATATGATGCATATCAGCCTTAGGGGACTTTATTGTGTATAATCCATCCTTCATTGAGGATTTCTTTACATCCTAGGGATGTGATTATGATTCTGTATGTTGCATCAACATACAAATTGTTTCAGGAACATTCACAGTTCAAGCAATGAATTGTTGTTGACATTTTTTCATTCCATTTGTGAATGGTGCTTTTGACTGAGGTAATATGAATAAAAGATGAGCCTGATTCTGATTATGGATTTAGCCTTTCTTGCTTTCGTGTATGTGAGGGCAGATGACCATTATTGCACAAAATGACAAATTAGCCAATGTACACCTTATTTGAAACTTGTCTGAAATTTGACCCCTGACGCATCTCAAATTTGTGGTGAACATGGCATCTCATTTGCAAAGGCAAATCGGTATTTATCACAAATCTCACGCATTCTAATTGTGACTGCCTGTGCACGGTAAGACTAACTTGAATAAAGAAATACCCACAATGAACCATATATGGGAATATAACTTCAGCCTAACCCTGGAGGTGTGAGATTGGAGTGCTGACCATCCATCCATCCCTCCATCTCCCTTCCTTGACCTGGTCATAGTTGCTAGGCTATAAAATATTGCAAATAGAGGGAGAAAAGAAATTAAAAGAAGAAACCAAAGTTGCTTCATATTTTTAAAATCTTTCAGAGATATTTTTAAAGAGTCTTGTAATAGATAGATAGATAGATAGATAGATAGATAGATAGATAGATAGATATCTTTATTACCATTTGCACAGGTACGGGTCAGTACAAGTACATTGGAATTCTTGTGCGTATCTCCCAGAGTCATTTTTACAAAATAGAGAGACAAAGGAGAAAAGAGAGTTTTTTAAACATAAAATCACACAATATAAAAAAATAATTAATAAAAGCAGCAGACACACTAATTGCAGGATGGAGTAAGTGGATACACACTGTGTACAGATGCCGATGCAGGATACAGAGTACATGGCCTGGGTGTATGAGGTAAGAAAGTATATTGCACATAAAAGTGGAGTATTGCACATGTAATATATTAGAATACATACTGAGAATGTGGTAAGTTTTCTATCTAATAATCCACAATAATAGAATGGAAGCAATACTTAAATTAGGCCACATGTCTAAATATCTGTGATCTGATTCCAAATTATTTAGAGATCTAAAATTATTTACTGTGTGGCTACATTGTGGGGAATCCTTGTCTCAAAGAAATGTTTCAAGATTTTTCAAGCTATCTTAAGATGTCTCTAGACAAGATGATTTATTTAAAATAGTTCATATCTATAGTGCACAAATGGATTGTAGGCTTATATAACAGTCACCGGTTTGTCACAATGGACAGAGTGTGAGAAAACTGATGGTGCCTCAGTCCAGATGGTCAAGCTCTGTCTCTCCTACAATACAGGCCAAACTGCCTTGACCAATGGCCCATTGAGAGCAGTACGGGGCTATTCCTCAGCACACAGGCGCCAGTGTGGGAACCTCAGGACATTCCTCTGCTCAAAGAGGCGCGCAGACAAAAGACACATCTGTGACATCTGGGACTTCAAGGGCCCGAGACTGAGAGGAGCCACAGCTGCTGTCGGTTAGTGTTCAAAATGTTACCAAAATGTATATGAGGAAAACACCATATAACAACAATCCATATTATGTAACCGTTTGTCCTATTCAGGGTCTCCAGAACCTATAAACAGAAGACAAGCAATGTACACTGTAAAAAAAAAAATCCTTCAAAAAACGGAAAATGTACTGGCAGAAAATTACCGGCACACTTTCCGTTAAGTTAACGGACTCTAGTTCCTTCAAGTCTCAAGGAAAATATTGTAAATTCACAGTTTTCCACAGTTTGTTGTTCCAAGGAATATTTCTGATAAATAATAGTTTATTTTCATTTTTAATTCTTCATTCTGCTAATGTAGAATTGTTTGTTTAATAAATGGTGTTGTTCACAAAACTACAAAAAGTAATTTGAGAACGTGGAAATTTAGCACATTCAGTAATTTTCATGACTTAAGGGCCCATAAACATGCAGTTATCCCACTGAAGCTGGATTTGAACCAGCAATCTTTGGATTATAAGCCCAAATACTTAGTCTAATGAGCCACACACTTACACTGACTTGACTTAAGTTGTAACTTTTCAAGTGGAATGAATTGCAATGTACCTGATTATAATACTC